CCATCGTCCAGGACACCATCAAAACGCTGAAATGGGATCTGCTACCGCACCCGCTGTATTCACCAGACCTGGCCCCTTCCAATTATCACTTGTTCCGGTCGATGGCACATGGCTTAGCTGGGCTACACTTGGCCAATTTCGAAGAAGTGCAAAACTGATTGGATAAATGGTTTCGATGCAAAGACGCGTCGTTTTATCGTCGCGGTATTCATGTATTGCCAGAGAGATGGCAAAAATGTGTAGCTAGCGAGGGACGATACTTTGAATAAACCGTTTTTTGTATTTCTCTTGAAATTTTCCATTTTGCATTGATAAAAAAAACCCGGAAACTTAATTGCGCACCTAGTAAAATGCATAGCAATTATTACTACGTATATCTTAAAATACTAATTATTTTCGAAAAAAATAAATTATTTTTTTATTGATATATTTACTTGCCCATATAATAACAAAATTTCCGCAGTAACAAGAAATATTTTATTTAAAAAATTACTTGAATTTTATAGCGTGCCCGAAGAAGAAGGCGAAGAAGAAAAGGTACGTTCGGCGCCTGTTTTCGTGAGTAAACCAGAACCGGTAACCGTCGAAGAAGGCGACTGGTCTAGATTCTGCTGTCGAGTCACTGGACATCCAAGGCCTCGAGTTATGTGGATAATCAATGGACATACAGTAGTTAACGTGAGTTAAGAAATAATATGTAATACGCTAAACAATAATTTATTCACAGCGAACTTACTCGAATACATTTATAAAATTATTATATTGAATCTTTCCCTTTTTTTTCACAGGGATCCCGCTATAAATTAACGTATGATGGCATGTATCATCTGGATATCCCCAAAACCAGACAATACGACCATGGTAAAGTGGAAGTGATAGCAAGAAGCTCTGTCGGCGAAACACGTACAGAAACCACTCTAACAGTGAAGCAACGAAGCGACGACTACCGTGGTGTATTGAAAAATTCGCCGAGACGTAAGTTTGCGCTCCAACTATTATACACATATTCGCCCATGAATTCTTCGTGTCATGATAGAATAAAATAAAGAACTTTAATAAAGTAATAAATATATATATATACATATATAAAATATGAATATACATATATAAAATATGAATATGATATATGTATATATAAATGCAAGTTTAATCAACTGATAACTTTCTGTGTTATAAATATTGTATTACGAAGAATTCACGCGCAATATAACAATTTAAACGGATTACAACGGTACAAATATACCACATGTGAAAGTGAAAGAAACGTTTCCAATAACGATTCGCGAGAAACGAGCATAAATCAAAGTGTGTCGAGCAAACAAATCACAGTACATAATATATATCGATACGGCACATGCATTCCATTCGAATACAGAAAACACTCTAGACCATTCGAACATGACCGATCCCTTCCTTCCCCGCTCTCCAAAGCCATGAAAAACACCTCAAATCCAGCAGCTTCTTCTGCTTCTCCTTCTTCTTCATCATGGTTGGGAATATCGACGGGAGTATTAGAACGAAATCGTCTTAGATCAAAGGTATCGTATAATTGGTTTCTCACATCGATCATTCAGGTATGGAACATAATCCTCGGAAGAACGTTCGTATTGTTTTACATTTTATTACTGTCTTTTTTTTTTGTTTTCACAAATATAATCATACACATATATTGTTGCGCTGCAGAAAACGGGTTTATTGCTCATGTAATATTTTTTAATGTAATATTTTTATATCATTTTATCTATTCTTATTTTATTTTATATAAACTTGTATATATCTCTCATATGTATTTATTTGAAATATTTATTTAATATCTTGTCTGTTTTTGTATTGTAAATCATACCGTTTTCTTACCGCTTAAAGCAATTCGCTTTATAAGTATTATTTGCAGAAAATGCAAATATCGAGCAGTTCTCCGTATTTCTGAATGCCGCGCAATCAATATAATTTAATCCTAATTTCCTATCATGTGTTTAATTTGTTGTTTTTTTTTTTAAGATATGCATTTCCCGCGTTACCTATCCTTTTGGTGCCTCGCACGAAAAATAGCGACCGATTGAATGTTAGAATTAATTCGTTGAAAAAGAAGCAAAATTCGACGAATTATACAGAATTTCTTTTTTTTTTTGTTATTTTTAAATTTGAAAAAACCTTCCTATAAGACGAAGGAAAGCACGTTCGCAAAAGAAAAAGCAAATAAGTCTAACAGTGTTTTCTATGATATGATATGATATGATAAAGCAGAACAATTTCAAATATGTGTTAACCATGTGATGTTACTGAATTTTCCACATCCAGCTCGGTTCTTATTTAGGTGTCGTCGATATGTGTTGCATCGTCATTCACGTACTGTGTCTTAAATATCGTGGTTTCCGGTTGTACTTTGTTCTTCGGTAAAGGAAAGCGCAACATTGCTTCGATGAGGTGCATTCGATTTTTCAATAAATAGTAACAAATTACATTTTCCGGTAAAAATGTATGCGAACATTAATAATTGTACAAATACCTTATCGAAGAATGTTGTATTCTTTATCAACCAGTCGATATGTCCGCTCGAAGCATTCTCGTTTAAATCAAGTAAGAAACACACGAGGATATACAATGTAACATATTGTTTCTTCAGCCTGGTACGATTATGGGCTAACACAGTACCAGACCGAGCGTCAAAACACAGAATTGGAACGCGTGTTTGACGAACGCCACCAAAGCGTTTCTCAAGGTATCGGAATTGCCACGGAGCATCTTAGCCCGAAAGTTATCAAAGAGCCTCAAACTGAATGGCAGAAATCTGTCAAGAGCAAGAAGAATGAAGATTATTATAATAAATTGATGAATCTTGAGGAGGAACAAGTGCTCAAAGAAAGCAGATTAAGAGAGGCTTCTCATCAGTTCGCCATTCCTGGCGACAAGGTCGTTTCACATTCTTTAGCAAAGGGAATGGCTCAAAAGTATGAAGAAAATTTGTAAGTATTTATTATAATAAATCCTTGATAGAAATAACATCAGTTGATGTGATAATGCTAATTATTGATTTCTTATTATTAGAGAGGAACAACCTCAGGAACCAGCAGAACCACCTCCGAAATACGTAAAGAAACCGTTTGTTACCGAGATAGATATAGATACAGAACGCGTTAAAACTTCCGGAAAGTATCCTCCAGAACCATCGGAATCCACGGTTCATGGTCGCGAAGTTCACGTAGCTAAACAAAAGCAAACACAAAAGGAAGTGAAGGGCGATTTAGAAATAACGAGAAAGATTACAGCAACGGAGACTACAGAAGTAGAACACAAAGCAAAGACGCAGGAACGTGTGGTTCAGGGTCAAGTTAAACCCGCTAAACCGCCTGTCTTCACGAAAAAAATTCAACCTTGCAGAGCATTTGAACAAGAACAAGCCAAATTTGAGGTTGAATTTGACGGCGATCCACTACCGACCATCAAATGGTATCGTGAAGATTTTCCCATACAAAACTCAGCCGATCTCCAAATTTATACCTTCAGCACCAAATCGGTGTTAGTCGTCAGACAAGTCTTTATGGAAGACTCTGGTGTCTTTTCCGTCATCGCCGAGAATAGAGGAGGAAAAGCTAAATGCAGCGCCAATTTGGTCGTGGAAGAACGCCGAAGACAACCTGGACGGGGAGGCGCGGTGCCACCTAGTTTCCTATCCACGATCCAATCTACTGCTGTAGCTACAGGACAGCTCGCCAGATTTGATGCCAAAATCACCGGTACTAAACCTCTGGATGTTTATTGGCTCAAGGTAAAATATGCAATATATATACATTATACATATTCTACTCCACAAAAACTAAAGAACTTTTTAGAGGCTCAAAATTGAGCATTCTTTAATTCGCTCAGCAAAAAATAATCGCAGACAAAAAATTAAAAAAGCATTTTAAAGCTTGAAACTTGTACTTTCACATGATTTAGAATTCACTTAATTTTAAACACCTAAAAAATTTTCTCTTTTTTTGTGAAGTAGTGTATATTAACTATAAATTTGTTAATTTAAATGATAATTTACATATTTAAATGGTATAACATATAACAAAAAATTTAAATTGACTTAAAATCAAATGTTTTTTATTATAGAATGGTAAGAAAGTAACGGCAGATATTCGTTACAAGACATTGGAAGAAGACAACACTTATACGCTTTTGATTCTGGAAACAGTGCCGGAAGACACTGGCAAATATGAGTGTGTTGCGATCAACAGTGCTGGAGAAGCACGTTGCGAAGCGGAATGTGCCGTTCGCGGACCTCAATCTCCAACGAAAGTCGCGAAACCCACTACTCCGACAATGGAAAAAGCGCCAACTGTCCTGGAACCATTAAGAGATCAAACTATTAAAGAAGGAACTTCTGTCGCTTTCGCCTGCAGGATTACAGGAAAGCCTGTTCCTACCGTGCAATGGAAGAAAGCTGATAAGGTACCTAACATTACAATAATAACTCTGATTTTTATGGACTTTTCTTTGATAATTTCAAATAATTTTATTTGTTTTATCGCATTTGTAGGTGATTAAACCGTCAAAGTACTTCCAAATGCAGAAAGAAGGTGATTTTTGTACTCTGAGAATTTCTGAAGCGTTCCCCGAAGATGAAGGTGTTTACAAATGCATTGCTAAAAATCCTGCCGGCGAGGTCACGACATCCGCCAACCTCAGAGTTCTCGGTAAGAGAAAAGAAAATCAAGTTCAATTTTATTAACTTTCTCTTGATTAATATATCAGATAAAAAAATTAATATTTTCTATTTTTTATCAGCGCCTGAAACAACTGACGTTTTGCCAAAACTGACACCTCTAAAGGATCAAATAGTCGTAGAAGGACAGCCGGCTCAATTTAAAACTCAAGTGAGTCCAGCAAAACCTAAGCCGACGATTCAGTGGTATCGAGAGGGTGCCTTGATCCCGCAATCACCAGACTTCCAGGTATATATCTCGCTACTCATGATCTATTGTGAAACTATAAAAAGAAATTGAAACACGATACTAAAAAAAAAACATGATATTATTTTTCAGATGATTCATGAAGGCAACAATGCAGTGCTACTTATAGCAACCACTTACGAGGAGGATACTGGCACCTTCACCTGCCGCGCTACAACCTCAGCTGGTACTGTAGAAACGTCCGCCAAACTCATCGTCAAAAGTAAGAACTGAATCAAAGATACAGATTCGATTGCTAACATGATACGCGATTGGACTTATATTAGATCTCCAAGAACTGCCGGAGACGAACATATACGCGAGACAGTGGCATGATAAATTAATTTATGTATAACATTAGTAAAATTAATTTTCGTAACTAATCCCGTTAAATCTTGAAAGAGGTGACATTAACTCCTTTATCCTTTTATACGTCTCACACCGGTTAAATTTCTATCACACAATTAACTCAATATTACATAACTCTTTATCTATATCTCCGCATATATACATATATGCAGTACGGATTTGCAACTCGAAGAGATTGCAGATCATAGTTATTCATTCTCGAGTGTTTAATTGACCGTTCAATAACGCGTTGTACAGCGAAACGGAAAAGGATGTTGATGTATGAAGTTGATTATTGAATTTAAAAATTCTTTTAATACAATCATTATTAATATGCATCAATCTCTGCCTAATTCATTGCCTGTATTCATTGCGTCTCAAGTACAGCCGTCTCCGCGCAGCGCGAATCGCCGTACATATCCATTCGTATTTTTACTTTTGTGCTTTGTTGTTGTCTCCCTTAAAAACGTAACCCACCGATCTATCGCTAGATTTCTCAATTTCCACCTCAAACACCCTCTAATCAAAAGTGTCGTGCGCGCCCGGGGAGTTTGTACTAACTCGTCATGTTTTGAGAATAGCTGAGCGAGTGAAACGAGGAATAATTAATGACACTTGAGAGGCTATATTACAAAACTATAATACTCAAAGGAAATATTGTAAGACATATTACGCAAATATGCAAAGGTCGCAAAAAGGTGGTGCTGAAAAGAAGGTGTCTAAAAGCAATAATCAAAATGAAAATTGAAGCCATTTGTAATATGATTGGTCGGAACAAGCATAGTCCGAATCACACAAAGCGTGGACTGATGCCAATAGAGCGAAATATCATTTTAGTCCCATACCGTTGATTTTTGATATTTTGACTTTTGTCTCAGGACAAAAATGTGATTCGCAGTCTTTTTATAATAACCACTATCACAATTCTGTAAATAGGTACTATAATCACAAAATAAAATTTCGCGCAATATTAATCAATGGATAAAAATAAAAAAGAATTAATAGCGATGCAACTGCGTTGAATACGTAACTCGTTTACTCGTTCGCTGTAGTGTCAATGTTTATTATAAAAAAAAATATATATATATATCGTAAAGTTAAAAATATATATATATACATATCTATATACACTTACACACCATCTTCTCGCTACACATGTATCCCCACTATACTTATAAATATTCATTTACCAGAGAAATCATAGCAACACACATATATACGGATAAAGATACCGTCTAACGTTTTACTAATCAATTATTTATTATTGTACAATGAAAGTCGCAATAAAACCGAATGTTCTAAGTATGTCCAAGTCTCGTTTGTTGCCGTTTCAACAACCATCGCCTAATTATTAATATGTCTTTAACTTTTGTCGTAAATGACAATTTTAATGCGACATTATGAGTGCCCGATAGAAGAACCTTTGTGGCGATGGAAGATTCAGATCCAAGGTGGCATAAAAAATGCAAAATTATTAATAAAATATATTTTTATCAATTTTGTTGTACATATAATTTAAATTTCGTTACACTTGATACTCTATGATAAATTAAAAAATGTATCTTGGATCTTCGTAACAGAAAATGTTCTTCTGTTGAATTCTCCGAGAGATACGTATATCGCGCATGAAGGAGAAAATGTATAACTTGTGCGTAACATAGAGACAAATAATTTGTAAGAAAAGAAATTTCATTGTAAGAGCGAAATTTTCGGTTCTTTTCCTCGTTTTTCCTCCATCAAGTATCATGGAAGCATATAACCGACTTGATTAGCGTTTACGTAAGAAGCACAATGTTTTTAGAAATAACAAATCCGTAGTTAGATACGCGTATTTACATCGCTTCTGTCATGTGGCACACGATCCAAGTAAAAAGTAGATGCAGAGCCGTGTGCACACCGAGCTAGGCCCTTTTCTTAAGCTATTTTGGAGCACGTGATGTGTATTACATTACCTGGCTATATTTGGCCGCCGGCTCGGAACTCCGCGAAGATTCGTCGACGTCGGCCACGTCGACTTAGGTTGTTTGTGTTCTCGCTTAGAGACGCTTTTTGATGAAGTATTCAAAACTATCATGCAATCTTAATCTACATCAATTGGCTCTTAATGCCGTTATCTAATGAAATTAAAAGTTTATAAGTTAATTGTACGATTTTTACATCTCAAAATGCATTGCACCATGTCGCATGTACGCGAATATGCTTCCAGGATCTTTACATATATCGCTAATTAAGATTCTACTATTCACAAACTTAATTATAAATTCAACATAAACATCAAAAGCTTTAAATATTTATCTTCTACGATCAGTATACAGCCGTTAGGAATTTCAGAAGTTGACTCAAACAAATATATCCCAGCGAACATCTTTTTTTAACTATCTTTAAACGTCTAACTGGTAAAAAACGACTTTCTAAAATACTACGGCCTATTCTTTATATTTTAAACGCAACTCGTGAACGCCATGAGCAGAAAAAGAATCAGTGAACATTGAGCGACCTTGAAGATGAAACGACAATACTTCTCAAGAAAACAAATGGAGCTGATTCATCAAGGAGACATTCTTTTCCGTGGGACGTCTCTATCTTCGATCCCAGACTACCACCTTCGCTCGATGCTTCATCGCCAGCATGATGATTTCAGGAGAAGCTGGCAGAGGTAGTTGACTATTTTGGCTCCGTCCCGAGCCAGCTGCCAGTGATTCAACCATGCCAGAAATAATACGGGGAAGCGCGTGTCAGCGCACTTTGCAAAACGAGAGAAAATTATTTTTAGTAAACCAGCAAGTTGGAGTTCAAGATGTGCAGCATAGGAGGCTACTTTGCAATCGACCAATACAGCGGAAAGTTGATAATATCCCGATGCGATCGTACTTGACATAACAATTAAAAAATGAATGAAAAGAATGTGAATCAATAAGCTAAATATTCTTCCAGTGCTTTTTTAATTTCATTCATATTACTTAATAATTGTCGAACCAAAATATAGGTCTGAAGAATTGTCTAGCGAAGATTCGCTATTTAAGTACTTGAAGAATTGGCTTCTCTCTACTGCTTCACACTCTTCCTCAATCCTTCTGTGTGATTAGAATAAAAAATAAAACTTTTATTTACATTTGAAAATATAACATCGCAAATCGATAACATCATATTACTTATGTTATCATATTACTTATGTTAATTTATAAATTAATCGTTTATATAAGTTTATTCGATGATAGAAAAGACCGACGTATATACAATGTATATGTACTGTATATGTATATATATGCATACACATGTCTATACACATAATAATCAGTACATCGTAAGACATATCAAACAGTTATAAAATTTATAAGAAAAAGAAGATGAAAAACAAACACATGTCTATGCATTTAATGCTGCTTTTATTTTTAATTCTGTATATAACCATAGTCGTCACAAAAATCTTTCGTAATTCACCGAATAAACTGTATGTCATCGTGTAGAAAGTAGTAGATCACTGTCCCTGTATTCACGCATCTATACATAATCGTAATTTTTTTTAATTCTCTCCCGTTAAATATTCAACTGTAGATCAATAAGTCTTCGAGTGGTTAAATGTCTTAGCTTTTTTATTACTTCAATAATCTCTTATTACGTTAATAATTAAACAGTAACTGCACTTTACACATGATATTGACGAAAAAATGGTTGACAAAAATAATAATAAGGAAACATACTATACATCTAGAAGAAATAAAATTATATCTAATATAAAAACAGTTCAAAGAACAAAAACTATTTAAAATAAGAACAAATAATATTTTTAAGCATAAAACATTTATCGTTTAGACAGCTATTGAACAATTCACTGCTCAAAATGCGATTATACCTTTAACACGAATATTTCAAATGCACCACCTTTACGGCACCATAGCAAAGCGGATTCAAATGTGTCCAGTTCAAATACGATTGCACTTTGATTGAACACATAAAACACCTCGTTAGAACAATAAGAAATGTGCTTTTCGATCAAATACAACAAACTGTCAAATGTCACATTTCTTTCACGTTTGATTCATTTAACTGCAATGTAATCACCACGATATTATCACTATATAAACACACGATTTTCTCGATTTTCCTTCGTTCCTTCATCTTCAACTTCCAAGTGATTACTATGCGGCTAGATGTAGCACGTAGTAGGGGTATGCCTCTTGTACGTCAAGGATCCCCACCGAGTTACTCTGCGGGAGACTAACTAAAGGGAAGCTCGCAAACATCGCGAATTCCACGAACACGACACACGAGTGAATAGCTTGACTCACGCGACCACACTTAATATATATAATTTATTTTCATGACATCGTCTTTTTGTATCTATTAAAGCTAATAATGTTACGGGCGTCATTGTATTGCCGTTGTAACAATACGATATTTTATTGTATTTCGAAACCCCCACACAATTACAGATGACAATTTCTTTTCAAATTATTTAAAAATAATTTCAAAAATATATAAATCCACCCATTTTGCATTTTTACTGTAGACACTCTTTCATTTTTGCGTTTTGTGTATAATTATAACTGTAACTACCGTGTTTGACTAAACAACTATTAAACTTTAATTGATAATATTGGTATCAAGCAACATCCATATATATATA